ATCTGCTGTGACTACCGTTGCAACGAGGCCTTGGTCAAGGGCCTGCTCAATATCGTGTATGAGTGCAGCTACCAGGTCAGTGGCAGAGCGCTTTGGTAGAGCTCCAAAATGTTGTGGAGCTAGAATTCCAAGTTTGATAACAAACCAGGCAATTCTTTTTGCAATGAGTCGTTCTAGGCCTTTGCCAAGACATGATAATAGCGATATTGGTCTGTAGGCCCTGGGGTTGGAGTAGTCTTTCTTGTCTGGCTTTGGGATCATCACCACCTCAGCTACTTTGAATGGTTTAGGGTGGTGTCCAATCTGTAGGCAGGTCTGGAAAAGGGCTCTGATATGCTCCCCAATGACTGGCCAGCAAGCTTTCAGAATCCGTACTGTGAGGGTGTCTACTCCCGGGGAGTTGCTCTTAGTCCTTATAGTGCACCCTTCAGCCTCTTCTAGTCCGACATGGTATTCGAGGGGGATGTGTGGCTTGGCTTGTGTGATCTGAACAGACCAGGGGTCGGTGATATCGTTGTCTGGGGTGCTTCGTTCAAGCGTGGCTAAGCGTAGTGCATTTGCTTTGCTCTCTTGTGACTCATAGATTTGGTCCCCAATAATGATTGGTGGGGAACGTAATCCTGCTGACAGCTTGTGCCAGGAAACAATTCTGTACAGGTCTTTTGGTTCAGTCGCTGAATCAATTAGAGTCTGCCAGTACTCTCTCTTAGCTTTTCGGACCACACAGCGAAATTCCCGTCGGGCTGAATTTCGCCCTTCTTGGCTTGTGGTCTGTTTAGAAAGGGCCCTGTATGTCTGAGCAGCTGCTTTGCAGTCATCATTCCACCAAGCAGTGGGCCTAGATTGACCGGGCTTCTTGCCCACTGTCCTGATACAGCCTTGAATCATGTTGATCAAGCTTTGTGTAAATCTATCCACCTGGCCAGGGGATACACCTAGCTGGGGGAGTTCATGAATCCTGGTTTGGACATTGTCTGCCAGCTCTTGTAGTTTGTCGTCCGGTACTATCCAATGATTGGCCTTGGGAACTCGGTCCCGATCTCTCTGAATTGGAATGACTATTCGTAATGTCTTATGATCTGAGGTGCACTGAAGTGCATCATTGACTGAGGCTTCAGCCATGGGGACATCTGAGAACACCAGATCCAGTACATTTCCATCGTCATGTGTTGGGACATCTGGTTCAGAAATCAGATCCAGTCCGTGGTCTGCCATAGTCTGTGCAAGTATGATACCACCGTGATATCCTGGATTGTTCGAGTCCCAGGATGTGTCGCCAGCATTAAAATCTCCAGCTATAACACAGCCAAAAGGTGGAGTCCATACTTCTAGAATGTCATCCACTTCCTGTGGGTTGTAACATGGTCGGTAGACACTGGCAAAAGTGATGCCTTGTACCTTGACCCAGGTGATGTCTCGTGTAGCATAGGGCCGAAGTTGATCCGCTTAAAGGTGTTTTCTCACATAGATGAGAGATCTGGGCCGTGTACTGTCGCTGTCCCAGGAATCCATTGGGGAGTATATATTGTAATTGGGGTGTGTCTTTACTCCCATTCTCTTGCTTGGTGGTATGCCGACCCAGGGCTCTTGCATCAGAATGATGTCTGCTTGTTCTCCTTTGTAGTCAGCCAGGTTGATGGCTAACTCTGTAGGGCCTGCACTCTTTTGTCCTCCTGCTGTATTCACAGAATGGATGACTAGGTGCCTGTGTCGATGTGTTTTGTTTGATGTACCTAACATTGACTGACAATAATGGTATCGGCATCTCTGGGATGAGTTGTATCTGTTGTGTCGATTTGCATTGTGGTGTCTTTGTTATTGTTGCTGGGTGTGGACCCAGCTTGGTTTCTGCCTGCTTCGTTGAAGGCCTTGGATCTGGCTCTTTCTCCGGCTAGCCTTATTTCCTGGATTTGCTCCCATGTGTGCTTATGGATGGTACCTTTCACAATCTTGGGGCGGGCAGGGCATTTGTTGAAATTGGCAGCATGAGGTCCTTTGCAGTTGACACACTTTAGGATTGGTTTTTCGCACTCTCCCTGGTGTACTGTGTTGGCGCAGTGTGCACATACTTGCTTTTCGCATCGGTAATTCCTACCATGGTATCTGAAGCAGCTTGCACACTGGTGAACCTTGGGGGTGTGTTGAATATGCCTTGAGGTCATTGAGTGGGCAAAAAGCGTGAATGGTTTCCTTGCTGCACTGGGCAGAGAGATTATCCACGTGGTTTCTGGATCAGAATCAATTGTGTTCTTTGAGAGTATGCACCTCAGAGGTCTGTCGCCTGTTTGTGCTTCAACTTCATCAGCAACAACAGTGTCGGTAATATCGATTGTGAACCCTTCTGTACTGATGACCTTTTTTGGGCATTTATTGACCTTGTAATGATGCCAGACTGTGTGGGTCTCAATCTTTTGTGCCTTGAGAATGTCGGCAATTTCTTCTTGGAAAGCCAGAAGCTTAGCCTGAGTTGGCTTGTCCCTTGGGTGTAAGGTAAATCCAGAAAGACACCGTGTCACTTCTCTAAGCTCCTGGGGGTGGAGCTTGAGTCTTCTGTTCAGTGTAGACTTGATTCCATAAGGCTCTAGATGGCTATTATCCATGCGGACAAAGACCCGGAGATCATCCTGCTTCTTCTTCAGTTGATTGGCAGTGATAAGGGTGCCAGGCTGCGTTTTCTTCATGGTAATGTTGACTGTCCATGGATGCTGTCGTTGGCCAGAGGAGACAGCTTGGGCAAAGGTCATGATGGGCTTCCCTGTCCCTATCCCGCCAGGAGTGGTCTTTCTTTTGGGCAGATCTCGGGTTTCCAGCCACTCATTCAGGCATTTGGAAAAGAAAGTGCTGAACTCCTTGGCATGAGAGTATAGTTCGGTTCCAGCTTTTTCCAGTGTCTTATCGACTGCTGCAGCACACTCCTGAAACATTGTCATCCTGGCTTCATAGAGATGCTTGTCTTTAGCCAGTATTTTGGCAACTTGGTCCTGGCACTTTGAGGAAGAGACCTTGTTCCCTGTATCGCCTCCAATAGCTTGGTCTGTAGAGATTTCGTTTGATTGAGGTACTTCCATATCAATGATGCTGCTAGTATTAATATTTCGGGATTTTCCTTTCAGAGGGGAAACAATGGTGAAGTCAGCCTCAGAGACCTGTGACGGGCTGCTGTTGATGTCGTCGAGCAGTGCCTGGCGGAGCTTGCTTGGGGTTGCCGGGCCATATGTTCTTTTAGGGACCGGTGATTTGAGCACGCTGCCAGTAGTCGTCTTTGGGACGGCCACTGGCGTATTTGGGGGCCTATCGTGAAGGGGTGCCATCCAGCTTGTGAGAAAAAAATTCTGCGCCTTGGCAAGGATAGTCAGGTACTGAAATAAATGCCTGTTTTAGTGCAGATATAGAGGTTGCGCCCTAACAGCGGGGCGCCAAGAAAAATAGTTGTTTTTGGTAAGAGTGTGTTTGAAATGGCTGTAGGTCAGGTGCGCTGGCAGGTACCACGGTCGCACGGCGTGCTGGGATCCTCAGGGACTGCCTTGCGGCTGGTATTGATGTGCCACTGAGCCTCTTAGTAGACCTACTGGTAGAAGAGCTCGATGCCACTCGATGGACTGTTGTGTATGGATTCCCCAAGACTACTGAGGAGCTGATTGCTTTCCAGAGAAATGTAAGTACCTACCCCTTGTTTAATGAACCTTTGCTTACTTCAGTTAGGTACAAGAACCAAACTACACGTTGTCACTTCCCATCAATAGCGATCATTTTGCCTCCCGCTCAAGTGATGCTTATTTCACCGAGGTAAGAAGGTGATCTGGCACCCCCATGACGAGAAGCTAAACATCAGTAGGTAAGCTGCGACATGGCTGTGAAAGATGCGTGCAGCCTCGCAAAACAGGCGATTATAACTTTTATGGAGCATGATAGAACCAATGCTAGCTCCTAAACAGGCTAAGTCAATTTGAGGTCAAGGTTGATTTGATATTCCCTAAAGGGGGCGTGATGAGGCTCTTCTTAAGAAACTCTAAGCCAAATACGAAAAGTCCAAATCTATAAATGCCCGAGAGCGTGTCCTTATCTCTGCTATTGCTGACACTAGCCGAGGCCTTGCCGGACGCTGTCGGTGTGTGTAGCAGGTCGGACCTGGTTCGTTCGGGGAGGAGTCGGTTCGCTCAGAGAGTCGCGCCGTCGTCGTGGTTGTCAGAATCGCGTCTTTGTCCACCACTACTATCACCTCCACCTGATCCCTCACCCTCTTTGGACTCAGCTTCTTGCATGCGACGCCGCTTGGTTGGGCTCGGAGTGCGACCTTTAGACGGAAGAGAGGACATCTGGACGGCAGCGCGCTTTCGATTGACGTGCCGATGCGTCAGGGTTTTGCGCTCGCGGCCAGGTGCCTGGTTGTCGCGATCCACGTCGAGGACTGTTTAGTGTTGAACGAGGGCAAAATTGGATCTTCTAGCATTTCTGCTATGATCATATTTGACATTTAGAGCCAGTCTTCGATCAGTTGGGAGTTAGCTTCTTCTCGGGAAGATGAGAGCAAAGCGTGACAGCGACTCATTGGTCGCTCGTATGTGTGTGTGCTTGTGTTTGCTTGCAATACGTCAATTTTGATGCTTGTGGTTGCGATTGTGGTCGTCGTGATGGAGATTGGAAAACGAGGCTGCAACACTCTGTAGCTTCGAGAACCACGAGATGTCCAATCGTCTTGCCAAGTCATTGGCACGTTTTCTGCTGTGGAACTGCAACTTTACAGGCGCATAGAAGTGATGCGGCATAGCAACATGCACCGCTAATGCCGATGTTACAGTGAAAACTGCAAGTTTCGACCCATACCTCACATTGCTGCCTAATGGCGGGATTCATTCTGGCCGAGGTTCCATCCCCTCCTATTTCTTACGCTTTTAAAATCCTGCTGTGGGCTAAGTGGCCCAAAAATGCTCCTATTAGCCTTGTTGGTGCACTGCCACCTCCCTGAACGCCACGGTGGCTTGCGCGCTATTTAACACATCATGGAAGATGACGTTCCAATGGATTGGACCGACCCGGACCAATTCGCTCAACATCATGGCTTCTTATGGATCAGCGAAAAGCCTGGGGCCGGGAAATCAATCTTAATAAAGTTCTTATACTTGCATACAAAGAAGAACACAAATAACGATGCTACCATCTCTTTCTTCTTCAATGCGAGAGGAGACGAGCTTAAAACATCAACAGCAGGAATGCAACGATCCCTTCTGGTTCAACTCGTGGAGAGGTTTTCGGATCTTCAAGTCGTACTTGACAATCTGAAGGTCAGCCGTATCGGTAACATTGACGTGCTCCGGGACGCCTTCTCTGTGGCAATATCCAGACTTGGTCAGCGTCGTTTAACTTGCTTTATAGATGCCCTCGATGAATGTGATCAGCACCAGGTCCAGGACATGATCACCTACTTTGAAGGTATCGGAGAGTACGCTATTGGTCAGGGAATCAAATTTCTCGTTTGTTTTTCTAGCCGCCACTACCCCTATATTTATATCGAGAACGGCATCAAATTGACCCTTGAGGACCAGCCTGGCCATGGACACGATCTGGAGAAGTACATGAGGAGCAAGCTACGAGTCGGGCCAAAGAAGCGCATCGAAGAGATTAGTGGCGAGGTATTACAGAAAGCCTCTGGCGTGTTCATGTGGGTGGTCTTGGTTGTGAACATCCTAAATGATGAGTTCAAACGAGGCCGTCTATTCGTGGTTAAGAAGAGGCTAAGAGAAATACCCCCTAAACTGAGCGACTTATTCAAGGATATTCTGACCCAAGATAGCCATAACCTGGCCGATCTATTACTATGCGTCCAATGGATACTCTTTGCGAAACGACCGCTTCGGCTTGAGGAGTTTTATTTTGTGGTCGTGTCTGGATTGGATGCAAGCAGGCTGTCAAAATGGGATCCTGAAGAAACCGCTGCAGATGATATGAATTGAATTGTATTAAGTTCTTCCAAGGGCCTTGCCGAAGTCACCAAGTCAAAAGCCAGAACTGTTCAATTCATCCACGAATCCGTCTGAGATTTTCTACTCAAGGACAACGGTCTCCGTGATCTATGGCCCGATCTTGGGGATAATTTCGAGAGTCTGTCCTAAAATCGACTCAAGCAATGCTGCGAGGCCTACAACCAGCTGGACATATCTGGTCTTATACCTTCCGACCAAGAACTCCCGAAAGCATCTTTTGATGAAGCAAAAACTCTACGTGAACAACTATCAACCTCGTTTCCATTCTTGACATACGCCATCCATCACGTGCTTTACCACGCCAATACCGCCGGCACTCGACTGCCACAAAGAGATTTCCTAAAAGCGTTTGATCTTCCAAACTGGGTGACGCTCAGCAATGCACTCGCAAGGTATAACACCCACCGATATGATCCAGCTATCCACATACTGTACATCCTGGCAGAAAACAATTTTTCAAGCCTGATAGCGACAAGCCTCGACCATAATCCAAAGACCCATATACAAGGCGGTCGATATAAATTTCTATTCTTTGCTGCCATGGTTAATGGCCATCGAGATGCTGTAAAATCGTTATTACGGCAACATCACTATTGGCCAGATCAGAACGATGTTTCTGTACAACTCGAGTACGGAACAGAGCTTAAGGCTATCACGGCTCAAACACCAGTTCATTGGGCACGTGAATGTTGTCAAGCAACTGCTCGAGAAGGGCGCCGACTACGAGGCCAAAGACAGTAATCACGGCCAGACGCCGCTGTCGTGGGCCGCCGAATAGGGGCACGTGGATGTTGTCAAGCAGCTGGAGAAGGGCGGCGAGTGCAAGACCAGAGACAAGGGCGGCCAGACGCCACTGTCGCAGGTCGTTGCAGACGGGCGCGGGAACGTCGTGACACTGTCAAAGTTCGATAGTGGTTCTTAAGGTAATCATTATTCTTTCTCAAGAAGACTCGCTGGTTCATAAGACCACTGATCTTCTCGTGTTAAGCTAAGTATCTAAACTTACTCGCCTATGTCAGTATTGGACCTTCTTTTTAAAATTATTTTTCTTGGCGCCAGAACGGCTACAACCCTTCAAATAGGGGCCGCGGGAACGGCAGAGACAGGGGCAGAGGCCGCGGCAGACGCCCTCAGCAGTCTGATCACAGCAACCAGAGTGGTATACGTTGCTACAACTACAATGAAACGGGCCATATTGCCAGGAACTGCCTTAACAAACAGAAGGCCAACAATAACGCTGCACACAGGGGCAGCAATCATGATGACAAGGGAGCAGGAGACTCACAAAGAGCCTCCCACCATGTTTCATAATTACAGCCGCAACCGCCAGCAGGGCTTGAAGAGTTTGCTGGCGCTCCAAGGAACGGCTGGAATAACTCTGTCACGGGAGGCAGCGCCATGATCGACCTCCAGAAGTGGTATAATGAAGAGATATGTGCCAGGGCTCTCGCTGATCAGGAGTGTTACAGCACACCTGACCAGAAGTACAATAGCAGATTTGCCTGGATTTTAACTAAGGTTAAGGCCACGCTGGCAGACCTTAGTAGCAGCCTTGTCAACTGCTTCCCATACCCTAGGGAGAAGGCGTTCCCACAAACCAGAGAGAGAGTGCCGCAATGGGGCCAGATCTCTTCAGCAATGCCAGGAGTGGCTGTTGCATGTGCCAATTATGCATTTAGCAGCAAGGCAATGTCCCCTCGCCAGCTCTTGCTATGGGACAGCGGATCAGACGTTCACATCATGAACGAGCTTACTGACTTTGAGCCCAAAACCCTTATGAATCTTAGGAACAAGCCGTTTCCTGTACAGACAGGAGGAGGCATTGTGTATGCCACCCATATGTGCACTGCTGTCCAATAAGTACAATCACTAGAGGGCGAAGCACTCAACGCAAGATTGCGGTGGGCTTTGTATATAAGAGACTTCCCAATCAAGACCTGGTCAGGAGATCTCTTCTACCAGCACGGGGGCTATCTTGAAGGCAACCTGCTCAAAGATCGGGACGGCAACTGGTCTACTGAGCTCAATGTGCCAAAGAGAGGTTTTCTTATCTGGAAATGGGGTCAGAGAGAGCCTGATCTAGGCAGATCACAATGAGGGTACGCGCCAGAGGGCGAATGTGAGAATGAGGAGCTACGCAAGGTGCTCCTGACCTCGCTCTCTGGCACAACTTATCAAATGACAGATGAACTACTTCAAAAGCTCATCCTCTGGCACCAACGACTGTGTCATCCAAGCACTGAAAGACTGCGGATGACAATCAGGATGATCACAGAGATCAACCTGAAGCCAGAAGACATTGTTGATATCCCTAGGCATTATTCCCAAATCAACTCTACTAGAGTTGATTTGCGCACGGACCCGCACGCGGCGCAGGCTGGCGCGTGCACAGTGACAAAGGGGGTAGAGTTGATTTGGTTCCCGGGCAAAAATTCGGTCGGCGTGAACGGGTATTTAGAGAAGACGAGACGGCGAATCTGGCCGTGCTGTCTGCATGTCGCTGCGATCATTAGAAGGGGGCTTTCTTTGTCAGTTAGGGTTAGGAGGAAGCTTGGGGTTAGGGAGGGAAGCAGCCGGGATGCCAGGCTACACAAGATTTCCGGTAGGCGCTTCTGGTGTGCACGCACATCTGGGGAGGGCAACCGGGGCGCTGGCCGGACATCATGACAATGCGGCACTGCGACACGCAGCAGCTGCTGCAGAACGTATTTATGTTCGACGGGGACGTGCTGCTCATGACAGATCGGGACAAGAACAAGGCGATCCGGGGCATTGGGCGCATGGTGGCGTAAGTGGCGTAGGTGCTGCCGTTCGAGAAGATGCTGTACACGCAGGCGGGCGGGGCGGTAGGTGGACAAGCGCTGTTAGTCACTCTGGACGAGTGGCTATGGAAGGACGGACAGAAGGGCCGGTGGGAGACGGCAGAGCTAAGCAAGCAGCTGGCGGCGTTGACAGGGCAACATATCGGGGTGGAGCTGACGGTGGCAGACTATCGACACGTGACAATCGAGCTGGGGCGGAAGATCCGGGGTCTGGTGGTACGACAGCTCGAGGTAGATATCGGGACAGCCGAACAGGATGACATTGGAGGCGGTGGGGGGCCGAGACATGAAGATCCAGCGACAGGCGAGACACGGGAGCAACAAAAGACAGAGTCTATCTGGGATCTGTAGGCAACGCACAGCAGCGCAATAGCACGGCAGCATTACGCGCTTGATGTACGATTCCCGGGGCAGCTGCAGCCGCAGATGATAGCAAACTACCGGAAGATTAGCCGGCTATGGCACGGGTACTTACAACCGAGTGGCGGCGGCGATCAGGACCGAGACAATGATCACAAGAGCGCTGGCAAGGACAAGAAGAGACAAGCCAAAGCAGCAAGCAGGGGCAGGGACGATGACAAAGATAGTAAAGGCAGCAAGAAAAAGAAGGTGGGCAGCGTCAGACCCAGCCCGAGGGCTACGGAGAGGAAAGACGGCAGGGACAAGATCAACAATAGCAGCAGCAACGGGAGCTGCGAGACAGGGATAGACGACGGGCTGCGCACACTGCTAGGGATCAACGCCCGCTGGAAGACGGAGGAGCAGCGGGCGGCGATGGCAAAGGTGATGGCAATAAAGGACGGACAGGCACTCATCGTGGTGCTGCCGACGGGTGGCGGAAAGAGCATTCTCTTCATGCTGCCGGCGGTGACGGAGAAGACGGGGACGACAGTGGTGGTGGTGCCGTTCGTGGCGCTGATGGACGATCTGGTGGCGCGGGCACGGGACTTTGGGGTAGACAGTCTGCGATGGCAGACGGCCGCACAGACGGGGCGGGACGAGCCCCAGCGAGAGGCACGGCTGGTGGTGGTCAGCGCGGACGTTGCTAGCAGTAACGAGTTCATAACATACGCGGACGGGTTGCGGACGCGGGGTCTGCTGCGACAGATCTTTATAGACGAATGCCACAAGATCATCATGGACGCCGAGTACCGGGCTAAGCTAGCGGGGCTTCAAGGGCTGTACCGGTTCGACTGCCCGGTAGTACTGCTAACGGCAACGCTGCCGGTGCGGCTGGAACGGTGGTTCCGGCAAGCGATGGTGGCGGAGGTCAAGGCGGGCAAGGGCATGGTGGAAGAAGAGGTGGTCCGGACGGTCATGCGGATAGAGAAGGGGATGCGTTCGGGACAGAAAGGAGTGGTATATTGCTGATCAAAAAACAAATATAAGGCGCTGGCAGAGAAGTTAAGGTGTGCATTCTATCACAGCAGCATGGCCAACGAAGTACGGAAAGCAGTGCTAAAAGAGTGGGCAGAAGGAAGAGGAGAGACGCATTAAATAGTGGCGACGACGGGGCTCGGGACTGGGGTAGACATTCAGGGGCTCGTGGCAGTGATATATACGGAGCAGCCGTACGGGTTGGTGGACTTTGTGCAGCAGACGGGGCGAGGCGGGCGGCGGGCGGGCGAGGTGGTCGAGTCAGTCATCGTGACGGATGGACGGGCAGGGTGGCACAACGAGCAGAGCAATGACGCGGAGCAGCTCAACCGGCAGGCAATGGCGTGGTTCGTGCAAGGGGCGGACTGCCGGCGGGTGGTGCTGGGGGTGTTTATGGACGGGGTGGGACAAGACTGTGAGGAGGTGGGTGGCGAGTGGTGTGACCGCTGCCGACAGCGCACCGGCGGCGGCGGCAGCAGCAGCAGCCGGGATATCTCTCAAGGAAGGGTGGAGACAGAAGAGGAGCCGGAAAGAGAGCCGGAAGGGGAGCCGGAAAGGGAGCCGGAAAGGGAGCCGGCGAACCGGCTTAAGGAGCACCGAAAAGAACAATATCGACGAGTTCAATGGCTACACGACTGGCTACAAGAAATTGAAGGAAAGTATGCAGTATGTTACGTTATATGGCATTATCACGGACGGCAAGACAAGCAGCGAAAGCGGTACAAGCACACGGCAAGAGAATACAGCACAATGCGGATACAGGAGTACGTAGCGTGGCGGCAAAAGGTCCGATTCAGAGAATACAGCTGCTGCTGGAAGTGTGGGCTGCCACAAGGGTGGTGCGAAAGGACAATGGCAAGGCAAGGAGAGACAGAAGAAAGGACGGGAGAAAAACAAAAAAGAGAAGCAGCATACAAGTGGATAGATCAGATATTACGGGTGGTGATACTGGGGACAAAAAGCAAAACAATTAAGCAATTGCTTCAAAAAAGATTTGAAATAGATACAGAGAAAGAAGGAGACTATATACAGTGGGTAGGGCGATCGCGGAAGGTATACGAGGAAGACGTAACAAACGGGGCAGCAGCATGGGCTTACATAGTAGAAGAAATATGCTATTCATAGTAATCTATTTATTGGTTTATTGTATTGTTTATATTTTATAAAGATAAGCAAGATTTATATTTTAAAGAAAAAAAAACAAAAAAAGGAAAATAATAAAAACATAATAATTTCTTGACATTACTAATAATCATACTATTGGTAAACGTTATTATATTTTTAATTAAAACATAATCATGAATTTCAAGATAAATATGTAATAAAAGAAGATAAAGCTAATCTAACTCATTGTATTTTTTTAAAAAGTCGCATGTTATAATAAAAGACACAATTATATTTTATCACAAGACTAGCCCAGTATTAAAGAAATCAAAGAAATCGTGTTATATAAACTTGTTATATTAAAAAGCAAAAGAAAAAGCTATATATTTCATATTTAAAAGAAATATAATAAAATAAAAACAATACTGTACAAAATAAAATAAAATAAAAGTTAACCAGGTCATAAAAGATAAATAGATTATAATGTTGGACCAGGCTTGAACGATCAATCATAATACTCGAGTATGGGGTCAAGGTCATGATGTTGCTGATGGTTGGATTGGGAGGTCTAGCTGGACCTGAAGGTCTGGCTAAGTGACCTCGCAATCCGGTATCTAATCACTTATCTAATCATACATGTGGGTCCTGGTATAGATGGTTTGCAGGCTGGAATCGCATGGATCCAACATATAAAATATATAAAATAAAATAAAAAGAGTGGCCATAAAAAGTGAGATATTATAAAATAAAAAAACAAAATAAAACAAAGATAGAAAAATAAATAAATACATCATGAAGACTAAAAGATTTAAATATCGAATAAAAGAGACTAGAAAGACTATATAAGAATAAGAATAATCAATATATAATCAATATAAAGGCTTCATAATAATAATAATTTAAAAAAATAAATATAATTCGACTTCCAGCACTTCAACATGCAGTAACCACCCCCCGCTGATCCACTTTGCGTTCCGGCTAATAGATTTCCGTCAACCAGCCACAGCCACCAACGGCCAATGTACCCTTTCAAAGTTTCAATGTACCTGACCCCACCGACTTCGCCCTCACAACCACCACTGCCCGTCGTGCTAATACGGTGAAGGCTTCTTACCATTGGTACAGCATTCAATTCGACTGACCACACATATGGGATAGCTTCAATCCAACGTCCTCCCCTCGTCGTCGCATGCAATGAATTCGTGTGCAACGGATTCGCGTGCAATGGATTCGACAGCCTCCTGTGAGCGTAGTGCCCCACAATTGTCACATTAATCCTCCACTACCACCTAGGGCAATTGACCACTACTACGCCACGGTGCTGCCGATTCGCGTTAAAAGCTTTCACATACGGCATTGACTTGCCCATATGCGATAGCAACAATCCAATGTCTTTACATGCAATGCATTCGACTTCTCTGAGCGTGGTCTTGGTCAGTGTGGTACATAGTGGCCTTATCTTTGCTAAGGTGTTGCTTTACTTTTAAAGAATTGTTAGTTCGCTATTATCCAATCCGGCTATTATCCGATTTTCTAACCTCTCACAGTAGGGGTATGCAGTCAACGTTAGGTTTGTTAGGGGATTGCAAATCAATTAAGTAAATAAGATATACTACATATATCACGTATTAGGAGCGCGCCGTATACGAAATGCTGCCGCGAGAGATGCTGTTACCACGAGAGATGCTGCCGCGAAAGAAATGTTGATGCCGCGAGAGATGCTAGATACTGCTGCGAGAGTTATGCTTCAGCGAAAGGAGATGCTGCTACCGTGCTTCCACGAGATGCCGTGCCGCCGCAAGAAATGTTACCGTCGCGAGAGAAATGCTGCTACCGTAAGAGATACTGCCGCCGCGAGAGAGACGCTGCCGTTGCGAGAGACATTGCCGCACCGCTGCTAAAGATATTTCTATGCCGTTGCAAGAAATAGTGCGATGACACGGTAGGTAACGTAGCAGCTGGCGGGTGGTGGTACATAGTAGTAGCTGCGCCTGTCAAATAAATTATCAGCTACAAAATAGGATAATAGTCGGATTAAATAATAGGGAAATAATAATTCTCTACTTTTACCTGTCTAGGTCATTGATTAATAAGCGTCTTGCCGCTTTTAAACCTAGTACTATCCATACCCTCCTTTCACAGCCCTATTTCGCTTATCTGTGCAACCAACAGCATTATGACCCCAACCAATTAGGCTGTGCTTGGTTCATTGGTAGCATCGTTGTCTTGCTCGAACACCCCTCTGTAGAATCGCGTAATTGGGATCATGATTCCAACAACCAGTATCTTGTTTACCTGAATACCGCTTCTGTCAAACTGTTAAATGTAACCGTTTGATATTTAAAGCTACTGTTCGTTGTTCACAAGTACTACCGGCAGTCCCTTCCGCTACCTGGGTAAGTCAAAATGAGCGTCTCATTGCTTCGCCTGGCCGGGCTGATGTTCCCTTTCCTTTGCTCCCTGGTTGCTTTTGGGCTTGTGATTACCGCGCTCACTGCGGGCGCCGGTTCCTTGCAGCAGCAGCTTGAAGAGTACCATATCCTCGCTGTCAGTTATCCTCTCATCTCTCAATCGGGCTTTGAGCATGACATCAAATACTCTGGTACTAATGTCGTGCAGCTGAACGCGTCCTCCTTTGGACATGCCTTCTCTCTTAACACACCTAAAGATGAAACCGACCAGGACGACAGCTACTTAGACAACGTTCTTGACAACTTAAGCGACGACTTATCAGGTTCCTTGAGTGGCATATTCAATGAACCTGTGGATACGGTTACCAGGCTTTTCAATATCTCACGGTGGTATTCATTGCACTTGAATAGCTATTGCAAAGGCAATTTTTCTCCATCGAGCGCTCTCAATGTTACTAGCTGCATTCGACGCGTCAGAAGTAACACATTCAACCTTACAGATATATTCTTTTGCGACATCAAGACTATCCCGAACGGCCTGGATATCGACTCTCTTCTGCCATCTGGCACTCAACAGGTAGTCAACTATCTTAGCGACTTCTTTCTCGCTGCTTTATTAGCATATGCAGTTGGTTACGGCCTTACAGGTGTCTCGGTCCTACTTTGTGTCATCCTCCCGGTTTGCCTACAGAGAGCCCAATACAGCAAACCTATCATGGTCCAGGTGTTGGTAGCCATATTGGCTTTCCTCATTCTCGTGATTGGAAGTGGAATCACCGTGTTCATTTCGAACAAGAGTGTCAGCAGGATCAACCACTTCGGTGAGGGCATCGGCATATCCGCTTCTTCCGGTACGAAATTCATTGCCGTATCATGGGCGGCCTCCGCGCTTATGTTTATTTTGTGCCTTTATTGGACAATCTTATACGTCGTCCTCAAAGCCCATGACCCCCGTCCAGACGACAGCCACGCCGCTGATCCTGCGACGAAAGTCCCTCGACCTACTGATCTAGATAGATTACGGGACAACCCTATTGTGGGCTTCGGACAAGCCCATAGCATCTATCCAGACGACAGCCACGCCGCTAATCCTGCGACAAAGGTCTTTCGACCTGCTAATTCAAACGGACTACGGGACAACCCTACCGTGAGCTTTAGCCACACCCAATAGACTGCCTCGATTTGCATTCGGAGCAAATGACAATGGGGGTTCATTCAAACCATAAGTTTTGGGCCACTCTGGTAGTGCTGTCCGGTGTCTAGTCTGGATTCAATGTCTTTGCTCGGGGCTTGCTTATGCGAGAAATCTCCTAATCGGGCTTCAGGCATGACATAATAACGAGGCCGTAGTGCCGTTGATTGCCTTATTCATTGTCTCATTGAGTGGTCCCTTTGGGATATTACCCCGTACGGAATTATTATGTGCGGCCTGTAAGAATTACCCCGTTAGGGATCAGCATATGCGGGCTTAAAGGACGGCACATGAGGAATTGCCTTGTATAGAGTTGCCTAATAAGACTAAATTATTAAGTAAGAAACTACATTTATCTCAATATCGAGTCTTTTCTATATGAAGTAATTATTTACGCGATGTGCTAGCGGCTTGTACTTCTAAGTTGTCCACTTATACCGGCTACGGGGATAGTCAGAGCCTTACTAACCTACACACGGTCCCTTTGAATAGTGTTTGTTCTCCTCCAAGACCCCCAACCACCAGAATCGCAGCCCCAAATTGCAAAGACATCTTTAGGGCATACGACCCTCTCAAAAAACAACACAAGCAAGCCCTGGAAGAGAGAGTTAGGTCATCCCGACATGTGTTGAATGGCGCGCAAGCCACCGTGGCGTTCAAGGAGGTGGCAGTGCACCAACAAGGCCAATAGGGCATTTTTAGGCCTTTAGAGCATCGATAATGCGTAGGGGCAGGCATACAAAGGTACTTGTTTCCAGGGGTCGGGGAGCATCATATATACATGGTTTGGTAATACTCTACCTTGTCTATCTACCCTGTGATGTATTTGATAAATCACCTGCATGGTCTGGTGGCCAAATTGTGTCCGTCTTGCTGATCCAGTCACCCGGCTTGTGTGGCTCGGATCGCCCCTTTTTTCATTTGAGATCTTGTGAAGCCTTTGAGTCAGCTCGTGGCTGTACGCTGTCACCTTGGCTCAACGCGAGACAAGAACAAGCTGCCCATCTTCCGCGGTGGTAACCTTGGTACAGTCGTAAAAGGTAGTATCTCTTCAAGGAGGGTACCCCAGCCTGCGAGGCCTATTAGAGTACCCGTGCTATATCCATCACAGCTATTGAGGTCAGCCAGGTCAACCAGAAGCGGCCTTGTACTTACAGCCACTCGTTTCAGCTGGACGAGTTGTGTGCAGGGAGCGGAGGTAGCTATTGGTCTCTTCCCACCTCTCAGCGTACACTTCTAGCAAAGTGGGCAAGGAATGACAAACCTTGTAGAAGCAATTCTGAGCGGAGATCATGCAACCATATTACGGGGGAAATGAGCACTTTCTGTCATCCCTAGCAAGGTTGAAACTTCCCCAATGTCCCTTGGACCGCTGCCTCGTCACTAGCAGTGGCGCATATCGGAGCTGCCGCTCTCTTCCGACTGGCTTGAACATCACCTGTTGAGTAAGAAAAACAATACTGGGCAAAACCTTGTGGTCTAGTCGCGGGTTCTTGCCGCTTTCCCGGCACGGCATGTCAGACGCGAACACACTTGCATGGGATCTAACCAATCTCGTAAGTACTAGCAGCATGGCTTGCTTGTGAATGAGGCGTTGAGAGGCGCTTTTCTTGCCGAATGAGGCCAGTCTAGCTGCAAATGAAGATGTCCCTCCACTTCTGTCTCAAGTAGGTATCTTTGCCACGCTGTCGTCGTCTGTTGGGCCAGCGATCTCAAGCTCGAACCGACTTAGGGTTGCAATTTATCGTTCAATAGTGGCGGCCCCCTTGCTGTGAGTGGAGTGCATAATGCAACCCATCAATGCCCGCCGCAATACTAACAACCAGCCTTGGTGAATCTTTTGACCTGGTGCTTGCCTTGAAAGTCCAGAGGGCCGATACATCTCCGCCCCAGCCTTCGTGGGTGTTGCAATAGGCTGCTAGACAAATTCGGTTGCGCGCTGTGAGGAACAGCTCGACATAGAAGAGTGGAACAGGAAGTCCACGTTGGACCCTGGCTACAGAATGTGATAGAATGAATAAGACACCCGGCTCGCGACTGGGGAGGTGCCGGTGCTAAACTGGTTCAGTAAGCAGCACAAATGTAAAGTCACTCAGAATCCATCACAATTATTGCAGGCAAAGAGTACTAGAATAAAACCCCAAAGGAGATCTGCCAATTTTGTGCGCCCCAGAATAGATACCCCTTCCAGTATCTGGGACGTGTGCTATCTCAGATATAGCGCCAATTGCGAATACGAACTGGGGATCACACGCACTCTCGACCTGAGGGCACCTCATCATGAATTGAACAGCTAACTACTCAGGCAGGTACCTCACCATGATAGACAGGCTAATTGTTATTTATTTGTTATTACTTGGCCAATATTTGCATGATTGTCAAAATAACAAAAGATTATCAATAGGACAGATTCAGTAACACTATATGTGCTTTTAAACAAAAAGTAAAATCCTGATGACTATACGAAGCATATTTAAAGGAACAACACTGATAGGTATCGCACACTTCTGTCCATCTGATTATAGAAACCTTATAAAGAACTTCTTTCAGACCGCCATAAATTTACCTCTTATTATTTCCTGGTAGACTTCTTTTCTTCATACTTCTTCAAAGAAAAGGACGAGCCGTCGGCAATGATCACGTCGGACTTGTGGGACTTGTGGGACTTGTGGGACTGACTCTTTTTGTTGCTGGAGCTGGACACCTTGGTGCTTTTCTTATTGTCCCGCCGGTCCCTGTCCTCGCGCCGTTCCCGGTGATGGGAAGAGAAGGCATGGTGGCCGGAACCCTTGGAGCGGGACGACTCGTTGGCCGAGACGCCTTCCTTGGTATATTCGACCCGCAAGGTACGGTCGCCGTCCTTGTAGCCGTTGAGCTTCTGGATCACCTTGTTGGTCGCGTCCTCGTTCTCAAAGGTGATGAGCGCGTAGCCCTGGTTCGATTCTTGGCCGTTGGACAGGGGTAGGTCAATTTTCTGAAGCTTATCAGCATCGGAGCCGGCCTTCTGGCGGACGAGGTGCTGTATCTGATTGTATGTGGCCCAGGGAGGGAGTTGCTTCATGATGATCTTCCGCCTTCTGGTGGGGACTGTGGCAGTAGAGGTTCCGCTGGATCAGGAAACCCTGGACCCGGAGCAGACGTACCGTTGGTGTACGTACTATAGCCGTTGTTCCGGTAGTCTTCCGCTTGGTATTGATGCTGGTAGCTAGTGTCGTGAGGATACTGGCTCACAGGGATTGCCACGGCTGAGTGGTCATAGGCTGACTGATCGTAATATCTGCCGTTAGAGGCATAATTGTGGTACATAGCCGCGCTGTAATCGAACGGCATAGACACTGGCGCGGCGTAAGTACCGTAATCAATCGCTGTAGGCATAGCGGCAGTGGTAGTTTAGTTTAGTTTAGTTTAGTTTATTTAACGCCATAGGGGCGCCAGGCTCCAGATCCTTGTGGATGTTTGACGTGCAGGTGACTATCTCAGGGGTTAATATACAAGCCTTACTGTACGAGAAGCAGGGCATGACTCCCTATTTCCCACGATAACCTGGAAATCGAACCTCGAGGGCACACATGTTATTCCGCCAGTTTCCGTTGGCCCCGCCATTTGGGCTCGTGCTTTGTGATATCTGGTTCGTAGTCGGTAGTCCGAATAGCGTAAAGGAGCTCCTCTCGCTTTGACAGTTAGTGCCTTGCGTTTAAAAGGCTATAAGCTAGAAGAAAATAAAAACATAAGGAAAGATAATAAAAGTAGTAAAGAGATGTGGTAATAGGCGCAGTTACACCTGGTGGTCGAGGAATTGATGTTCTATAACCCTGGGACAGACTTTCGTGTAGAATTCTGTCCACTTGCAGAAGTCTCTGAATTCCTTTGGGTGCGTTATCAGCCATTTCCAATAGGCTCTCCCTTCTGGTTCGGGTTCTCTGTTGTGTCTGCGGTTTCTTTGTGGCCACCTAGACCATTTTGTAAGGGCTCTATTGCAGAAAGCAAAGTGGGCTTGCGTTTTGATTCTCCCGCAAGAGCAGTTATAGTGTTCCTTGTGCTTGAACCTCCTATGGTACCAGCTAAAGTCGCCGTGGCCAGTTCTAGATGCGATAAGCCTGTGGAGCGTTGGCCTGTCAAGCTTGAGCTCTTCTAGGCACTTGAGTGTAGTTTTCTGAAGGCCGAGACTTTTGTATTTGTTGGTGATGTTCTCATTCCACCATTGCTGGTGTTCTTTTCGAGTCGTTTTATTGAGAAGGCCTAAGACGCCCATAAGCGTGGGTTTGGTCCCGGAAAGGATTAGCAAGGTGGTGCCTTTCTTTGTCTTTTTGTCAGCCTCTTTGTTACCTTGGATATCCATGTGCCCTGGCACCTACCGGATCTGTATGTTGGCGTACGTTTCCGAGATTTCGTGGAATTCTAGGAAAGCTTCTTGGGAGCTCTGTGCTGGTTCCCTCCACAGTCCGGAGATCACTGCTATATTATCCAGGCACACGTGGATGATGGCGCCGCTGCTGAGCCTCAGGGCCTGTCTGAGTATGTGGCGGGCCCCTTCGACCTCACTGTCAAAGACCTCATCTGGGTAGCCCAGTCTGTCACAGCCCGAGGCTACGTTTGTCCGGCCTCTATAGATCACGTATCCATAGCCCACCGCCCCCTCCAGGGATTTTGAGCCATCAGAGTAGGCGACTATGTGTGAAGGTAGAGGCGATTTTAGCCAGTCTGTGAAGACTTTGGCTTTTTTGGCTTTACTTCTTATTATAACAGCTTTGCTAGCGTTCGTTGCATATCTTGGTTCTGTTAGGATTGGTCTTGGAAAATCCGGTGTGAGTTCATACGTCCTTTGGAGCCGTGTCCTTTCGGTTATCTTAACTAGACCCCTCAGGCCTCTGCTCACGGTAGGGTTCCGGGCTGTAACACATCAGACTAACGGATACATGTTATCCATAGCTCTGGTCCTCAGGCTGAATCGCATCCGGATCTTGCTGAGTATGGTTTGTACTGTTGGTAGGCCTGATTCTTTAAAGAGTACCTTCTTTGGTGTAGTTCTCCAGACCGGGAGAATCCCTCTGATGGCCTCTGTAAGGACTCTTTCGAGGTCGTCCGAGTGGCCGTTCTGGTGGGTGTTCACGTCCCGGGCCTGACCGTTTCCTGCTCTCTTGTAATCCCCGGCTCCCCAGACCTCTGCCCCATAGGTCATGGTAGGAATCATACATGTAATTACCGCCTTACGGAGGGCTGCTGCTAGGGGCCTTCTGGCAGTGTTTACAAGACTTCGAATATGTCTGGCCACGACGAGGCCCTTGGCTGCCTGTCTTTTGACATGCTCCCGGAACTTCAGGGACCTGTCAAAGAAAATCCCCAGCCAGCGGACCACCGCCCCTTTCACCGGCTGCGCTGGTTTGATGGTGAAGCCTCCGGGGGTGACTATTTCTGGTGTGAGAGGTCTCCTCCCAGTATCAAAGTAGATGGCTTCAGCCTTGGAATCTTCAAAGGTGACCTTGTTGTCTAGGCCCCAGCATAGAATATCATCTACCATGCTGGCTGCCTTGGCTGCTAGCTCAGTAGTGATTTTGCCCGTTATTTGGACGCCGACGTCGTCTACATATCTGAATCTGTTATGCTTATCCTTTAAGAAGATATCTGCAATATACAGCAGAAAGAGGATCGGGGAAGCTGGTGATCCTTGTGGGAGCCCACAGCTCAGTCTGAATACCTTAGTAGTAACGCCTTCCAGTCTAATCTAAGCAGTTCTGCCCGATAAGAAGGAATCTACCCATTTTACAAGGGCTGGTGCCCAGCCCAGCTGGCGGAGCCTGAGGATCAATCTCCGGTGAAGTACTGCATCAAACGCCCCTTGTACATCCAGGGTAACAAGAAGCGCTTTTTGCCTGGATTTCAGGGCTAACTCGATGTCGTGTGTGACTGCTGCAGTAAGGTCGACCGCAGAGCGCTTAAAGAGGGCCCCAATTTGGTTTGTGCTGGTCACCCCTCTTAGTAGGGCTATTGTTGCCATCCGTTTCGTAACTAGCCTTTTAAGGCCCTTTCCAAGGCATAATAACAGAGCAATCAGCCTGTATGATTTCGCAGTGGTATAGTTCTTTTTCCCCGGCTTCTTGAGCATGACTAACTTTGCTGACTTGAAAGGGGTGGGATGGTGCCCTGTTTTAAGGCAGGCTTGAAATAGAAGCCGAATCGGCTCTGCTAGGTGGACCCATGCCGCTTTGAGGAGCCGTGTTGAGAGAGAGTCTATTCCGGGGGCTGTGTTTTTTGTGAGAACCATTTTAGCAAGTTCTGTTGGTGATATTGCAGAGTCCCATTCCAATGCAGCGCGGGGTGCGATAGGAATCTCTAACGGGTCATGTACGAGGTCGTCTTTGGCCGAGTGCCTATCTAGTAAGGCCGTCTTGAGGGCATATGCCTTTTCGGTAGTGTCCTCTACTGTCAAGTTGCCGACTTTTAGTGGTGTTGATTTTATATCCGGACCTAGCTTATGCTAGTTAATTATCTTGAAAAGGTTTGAGTCTTTTTGTATGCCTTTGATGCGGGCTTTTCAGTATTCTTTTTTTGCCTTTCGTACTACCGCCCGATACGCGCGTTTCTCTTCCGTAGGGATGTTTATTCCGAAATGCTTCGTTGCCAGCTTGTACGTTCTTTTTGCTTTCCCGTACTCATCGTCTCACCAAGGAGCGTTTTGTCTCTTGTTGCTTGGCTTGTTGCCAATGGTTTCGAGGGCCAGCGTGATGAGGTTTATAATAGCAGAGGTAGCTTTGTCGAGTTCTTCTGTTGTGGGGTTGGAGCTAAGGCTTGGTAGCGGGGTTCCCATACGTATTATCTCACAGAACTCTGGTAGTTTGTCATCTGGTACTGTGTATCTCTGTTGCGCCACTCTTTGTCTCCCTTTGGATGGGATCGTGATTTGCAGTGGCCAGTGGTCTGCGGCTGCGTGTATAGTGTAGTTGACTACTGCGGTTGCAAAAGGGATGTTTGAGAAGGTCAGGTCGAGGACGTGCCCATCGTCGTGTGTAGGGACGCCCGGTTCACCAATATACAAGAGCTGGTTTCCTGCTACCTATTGTGTAATTTCCCTGCCTCGGGCTCTTCTTGGTATTCTTGGTTCCTAAGAAGGGTTGTTTACATTAAAATCTCCTGTTACTACGCAGTGGGCAGAAGGTGGCCAGGCAAGCAGCAGGTCTAGTGCTTCCTCTCCTTGGCGGAAGAAGTTCATAAGTGTGACTCCGTTTATTGTGAGCCAGATAATGTCTCTGGACGGGGCTGGCCTGCTTTGTTGTGTCTTGAGTCCGGCGTCTTTTTGTACGTATGACAGAACTCTTGGCCTGTACGATGTACCCTCCCAATGGTCTATCGGAACATATGCGTCATATTGGTGGTGTGAGCTGTAGCGGCATTTCCCATCTACACTCACCCACGGTTCTTGAATCAGGACCACGTCTATGTCCGCCTCGCAACAGTTCTGTAAGAGAGCCGCGTGTGATTTGTGCATCCTTTGGACGTTTCTTTGAGCAATCCTGAAAGGACTGATCCTCTGTCTGCGGTGCCCCTAACCGCCTTATCTCTAGTTAGGGACCCGGGGGAGCCTAGTCCCGGAGGTCTGAGTGGCACTCGAAGGCTGAGCTGATATTATTACCAGTATAGTCAACTTAATTTTGCTGGCGGCGAGGTCTCCTCGCGGATCCTGTGCCCTGCTGTGATTCTTTGGGGAGAGGGGGTAGACCGGTTATCTCCGTATCCTCCTTGTCTAGGTTGTCGATTTCGTCTAGCCCCTCCTCTGACGTGGATTCACCGTCTGTGAGGTTGATTTTGGGTGTGTTCACACTTGCTACTATGATGCTGTCCATGGCTCGGATGTTAGGGCTGGGTGTGGTTTCTTCTTAAGAGGGTGCCGCCAGTACCGGTGCTAGGCTTTGAGGAGCTGGTGGATTCCTTATAGCGTTTATCTTGTTGTAGAGCTTTAGACATGATTTTCTGAGCTTCTTCCTTTCCTGGTTCGAGGGGTGGACCAACTGGCCTCCTATTCTCTTAGGTCTGGCTGGGCAGTTTGCATGTGTTGAGATTTCGGGCCCCATACAGTTGGCACATTGAGGGGGGAGCGTACATGGAGATACGTGCCTTTCATCTTCCGGTTCCCTGCACCTCTTACAGCGGCTAGGGCGGGCACACCGCCGTGCAGAGTGCCAACCTTGGCATCCTGGGTTATGTTATAAGGGAGGGCTTTTTTTTTTGATAAGCCTAGACCTTGAATAGAGGCCGAAGATTCTAAAGGCTCCTACTTTCTCAGTAAACGAAACGAGCCATGTGACTTGGCTGGACTCGTTGAAACCGTTTTTTGATATGCGTGCATTAACCGGGCAGCGGCTGGTCTGGAATTTGTATTCATCTAGGGTCATTTCTGATGTGATCTCTACGTCTTCAAGTTCCATGTTGGTAAGTCTAGTTGGACAGTTTGGGAGGGCATAAGTATGCCACTTGACGGGTAGTTCTACTGCAGAGGCTTTTGTGAGCTGAGCTAGTTTTTCTTTTTGTGTTAGGATCCTTCCTTGTGCAGTTTTATCCCTTGGTCAAAGAGACAAGCTGGTAAGGATTCTGTGTGCATCTGCCACATCGGAAGCTACGAGGTTTAGCTCCTTGGTGATAGTTTTCTGAAGGGCGTATGTGCTGATAGTTCTCGACCAGCCGAGCTGGTCTTTTGGAAGCCTTATAAAGATACGGAGGTCTTCTTTCTGCGTCGGCGGTCTGGTCCCGGCGTGTTTTTTAGGGCCGTTTCCAGCTGCCTGGGGCTGAATGCCATTCGCGGTGACCCCTGCATACGTGGGTCGTACCGGGGGTTGTTTGTAGTCTTTGTTGGGTCTGTGGTAGGGTGCGCTTGGTCACCTCTTTTGCTGCGCAGGGGTCCTGTTCCTGCCGGCTCCTGTCCTTTGCTATTGGCGAATACGTTTGTGCGGAGGAACTGGGAAAAGCTGGTGGCTATCTGTTGGGCGTAGGCCAGCTGTTCTGGGTCTTTTGCCACGGTCGCGACGACTGTGTCGAGGGATCCGGCAACGAGTTCCAGGATATCCGTTTGAATTTTCTCCTTGCTGCGTCGTTCATTTACTGCTTGGTGTAGGGCTTATAGGGCCGAGTTTTGGGCCTGGATAGCATGTGTGGAGGCACTGAGACCATCAGGCTTTGCGAAGAGGCTGATGGGGGCAGAGGCTGCTCCAGAGACAGCGTTATTCTTGTCATTGTTATCCCTTCTTAAAAAGCACCGTCGGGATTGGTGCCCATCGTGTTGAATTTCTCCGTGTGTGGAGCGATCTCAGACACCCGGCTGAGCTGAGAGGCGGGGGGTGCCGCTGCGCTGCGCTGTCCCCTAAGGGAGGTGTCGCAGGGACGGCGGCAGCTAATGGCTGGTAAGCCATAGCGTGGATCGTGAGATCCAGGGCTTGGTGTTTTGGCCAGATGGAGGCATCTGTTAGCGTAATGGCTGGCTGGGGTAGGCTACACACTAACAGTGGGCGCCAAGAAAAATAATTTTAAAAAGAAGGTGCGTCTCGAGATTTTGCCCTTGGTGTTTAGATTTAAAACAATGGTGCAATGCCAAGTGTTAAGAATTTTGCTGTGATGTGCGCAGATGTACTAACAAGTGCAAGCGCACGGATGATTTTTACCAGGAAAGGTGAACGGCTCTGAGAAAGGAGCTGCCAGAGGATGTGCAAGAAGTACTCAATCGCGGAGAGGAAAACCACAAATTCGAGACGCCGGAGTACGAAGCTGCCATGGAAGTCTTCTACAAGAGGCACTTCAGTCTCGCTAGGCCGTGGCCGGCAAAGGAAGTCCGGGTTGCAATGGACCGTCTAAGAGGGGATCCAACCATATATGGTACCATGTGAGTCTTGACTACATCTACGTCTGTCGAAGGAAGACACTGATCAAGGAGTTAGGTATGGCCTAAGCGAGCTCTACGTATCCGGGTCTCTACACAACTGGACTTGCATCCCAATATTGAAACACATCCAGGTCCCAACGCTTCTGATCAACGGGATGGATGATGAAGCTCAGGATGTGGCAATGCAGCCCTTCTTTGACCACATCGAGAAGGTGAAGTGAATTACGCTGGAGAATGCCGCGCACTTTTCCCATGTCGACCAGAGAGAGGTATATATGAAACATCTGAGGTATTTCCTATCAATGAAGGTGTAAATGTAGCAATTAGTTCTTCAGGAGCGGCGACTCGTATTTCCCAAAAAACTCTACTCTATACTCTCGCAACTATCCGCGTAGAGAAACCGTCTCCGAGAGCAGTGCAAAAAATATAGCCATTGTAGCCATTGTAGGTTGGTGGCTCAGGCGCAACTAAATGCGACCTCATGCAGGTTAGTCAGGGTAAGTATAGGGTAGGCGTTCCTTGTACCAGGTAGTGTCGCTGGTCTCAAGCAGGTTACTGCTTCTCCTCCCGATAGTAAGGGGCTTCCCTAAAGGAGACAAAGATACCAACTAGCATCAAACTTTTACAGGCCTGTGATATAGATATATAACACGCAGTTAACCTGTTATTGCCTCAAACTTTCATCCGCTTGAGCAGATAGTCCCTCTAAGAAGCCAGCGTACTGCCAAAGCAATACGGGCTATTTAGCAGGTTAAGGTCTTGTTCGTTATCGCAATTAAGCAGACAAATCACTCCACCAACTCGATCATAGCACTCAAACACTTTCCTCCCACCGTTGCTCGATATCTCCAAGTATTGTTTCGACCCAAACACTGAGCCCCTTATCTCACTGTACACTTGTCCCACATAAGTCTCCGTACGCTAGCCCCAATTCAATCTTCTGACCAAAACAACAACGCAACACCCTCATCTTGCGATAATACATAATAAAATCAGATCGACATGGATATTAACGAAATGGGTACCGTTCTAAGCAGCACTCGCCAGCCGAACGGCGAATTTACTTCGGAGGCTCGTGCAGGCATTATCGCGGCGCGCGCAGAGGGCCGCAGCCGTAGGGTTGTTGCACGCACCTGCGGCACGGAACGTGTCGAAACCATCTCTGAGATTTGCTCGCGTGTCAACACTACCAAAACCACACGCACTGCGCGAAGGAAGGGAGCTCTTAGGCTTCTTTCGCATGGGCAAGAATGCCAACTAGTTGATTTGGCACGGAGGTTCCCTCGTCTCTCGTGGGAGGCGCTCAAAGCCAAAACACGCGTTACCTGCCACTCGGAGACCATCGTGAGGGCTCTTCGCCGACACGGCCTCAATAAATAGCGCGTGGCAAGGCGAATCTCTCTCACGGAGGATGACGCCGCGAAACGGCTTGCTTGGGCGCGAAAATACCGCACGCAGCGCGCTCAAAAGGAGTTAATGATGGCCCTCTTCTCCGACGAATGCACCATCCAGAATGATCCCGATAGACCTGGCGAATGGGTCATCCGCCTCTCCAACGAACGGTACCGCAAGGATCTCGTGAACCCACAGAGCCACGGGAGAGCTCGTATTTCAATAATGGTTTGGGGTTTGATGTGGTTACGCGACGATGAAGGTGGCCTAGGCAAGCTGGTCTTCTGCGAAAGAGATCCAGATTCACCACGCGGAGGAGTCTCTACTAGGCGCTATCAACAGGTCCTGGAGGAAGGTCTTCTTCCGTTCTATGAGGCAGGGGACCCTTTTTAGCAAGATAATGCTCCTGTGCATGTCAAAGGAGGCTCGCCAGAGTGGTTGGAGGAGCACGGGATCTGGACTATCGACTGGCCTCCTCACAGCCCCGATTTAAACCCCATCGAGCACGTTTAGGCAGCTCTGAAGAAGAAGATAAGGGAAATAGAGCCTCGTTTTCAAGACCTGAAGGACAATATCGCTCACCAAGCGTGGGCTAGAGAGATAATCCAAGCCGCGTGGTCGGAGTTGGATCCCGACCTCCCGAAGAAGCTCATCAAATCTCTCCCCGATCGGATTGCCGCAGTGGCCCGGGCGCGCGGCTGGTACAACCACTACTAAATCGCTATCAGATGCATATTTTGTTATAATTTTCGGCCTCGTGATGCCTTCGCAATTGAGCAGTGTATGTGGTGGTGACGGTGTGTGGATGGGGCCGTACGGAGACTTGTGTGGGGTTAGTGTACCGATCTTCACTTGATATTGCGACTCATCATGTGGCTTCTCAACCCTTCAACCCTGCAACTGGAGAACTTTCCTGATAGATGTACTTGCTTAGATCAATAACGCCGAACGAGAAGACATACAAGTCCAACTCCAGTATCGCTAGATCACCGATACTCTAGCTTACGAGAAAGCCGAAGGTCGCGGTCTCGGCTACCGTGAGGTTGTGCGGACAAAGCCGAACAGGAAAAGGTTGTTGCTGGCATGCTCGATTAGTCCGATTGCTATGTTGACAGGCTCGAACATCATCACCTATGTACACAAAGTCCCGCATCGCTAATAATCAGCAGTCCGGTCGCTGTCAAAGTTGTAGATACTACTTCGGCACAATGCTAACCCAAACCAGCGTAAGAAACTCCACCACCCAACTCCAAATCAACGTCATCCTTTCGGCCTGGCAACTCCTCGTCTCCTTCACCGGCTCCGCCCTCGCCGAACGCATCGGCCGCCGAAAACTCTGTCTCTGCTCCCTCGGAGCCTGCACGGCTTTCTTCTACATACTGGGTGGCATGACGAAAGTGTACGGCGCTTCCGACTCCAAATCCGGCAGTTACGGAACTGTAGCCTGCATCTTTCTCTTCCTTGGCGCCTACTCCTTTGGTATCACCCCGTTGACGGCTATGTATGCACCGGAAGTCCTGCCGTACAATATCCGCGGTACGGGTGTGGCTATTCAGGGTCTGATCAGCAAGTTCTGCGGGCTGCTTGTTACTTTGCGTTTCCGTATGCGCTGGCGTGGAGTGGGTGGAAGACTTATTTGATCAATGCGAGGTGGAACGTCCAGATGTTTGGTCATGTGCTGTTGTAGTGGGTAGAGACGAAAGGCAGGACGCTGGAGGAGATCGACGCCATCTTCGACGGCGAGAATCATTCGGATGTTCCGGACCTGAAAGATGTCAACATGGCGAAGGCGGAAATCATAATAGGCCAGTCGGCCGCTGGGGAAGGTGTTGAAACGCAGAGCGTGGCTATGGACTCAAAGGCGAATAAGTCGTGATGTCGGAAGCGAGGCTTGACGTCGACAGCAGAATGATCACGCAACTTCTAGCCGGTTTCTCAGGGAAGCTGCAAGATATGAGTATACTAACTTGCTGATCTTCCGTACAGTAGGTTATTTGTAGACATGATCAGCTCTTGACCTAGGTTCCTGCTGTGCACTCACCCGTCTCAAGCTGCAACGCTCGCCGATATCGTCACATTTGAGAGTGTGACCATGGGGTTGGTGTCAAGCTTGACACCCATAGACACAATGGCCGCTTATGCTTTGGAGCCGCTGTAGATACGAATTTACGACTTCTTGATGAGGATACACAAAGCAAAGCATTATATACATCCGTTACTACCTATGTACCTCCCCTACGAAGCAGCCCTCGTACACGTCGTGACCAGACTTGATGCTCTTCAACTCGCAGTGGTCGTCGGGATCTTCACATTACTCACCGTGCACCCCTTCGCAGCAGGCACACCCGCAAGTCTCTCGAGCAACCAAGGATACCCAGCCACCGCTCCATAAGTTCCAGAGTCACCATGACTCGCTCCTACAGCCCTCTGATAAACAATTGTAGCATGAGTACCGTTTTTGCAGTACTTTTCGACCAACGCATCCGTGTCAGCGACTGGACTGAGCTCATCCGCTGTCCCTTTGTACAAGAAGATGGGGACGCTGGGGACGCCGTGGAGGCCCATGACACCTACTTCCTCGATCAAAGCGTGCGGGATAGGTTCCGAGATGATGGAGGAGTTGTGGTCGCGGAAGTAAGGAGCAATAGTTTGGTTGACGAAGGTCAAAGCGAAGTCCGCGGAGCAGAGTTCTCCTGCTTGTAGGAATTCTGCGGTACGGGTTGGGTTTGGTGAGAGATTTTCAGAAAGCCAGGTGGCTAATGGGAGAGATTGTTTCGAGAGGCCGACGAGGAAGAGAGGGGTTAATCCTGCTAAGAGCGTGCCGTCGATGGTTTGGAAGACGGAGGTTATATTCGGCGTTAACGCTGTGAGCAGTGCGGCTACGATTGAGGGTTTGGTGTCAGGGGCGTAGGAGTGTTGGAGTTCGAGGGCCCATTCGCTTGCTAGGGCTCCGCCGGATCCACCTATGAGTGCGACGCTGGAGTTGCGGGAGATGCCTGTGGTGTAGCCGGAGTTGAGGACTGCGCGGATGGAGTCTAGTAAGGCTTGGCCGGATTGGATGCCGTTTGCGAAGGCTGCGGTGAAGCCTTCGTAGTCTGGGATGGAGACTGGGAGGCCTGCACTGAGAGCTACTGAGAAGATCTCGGTGCCGCCGATGATGGTTGAGGGGTCGGAGAAGGAGTAGGATGGCGCACAATCCGTTGCTGGGGAGTCGTAGGGGATTTGGTAGGAGATGAATTTGTCGAAGCTAGCGTTGGCGGGGATCAGGAGAGATGTGACGACCGCATTTGGCTGGTTGTTGCTGTCGGTCGAGCGGTAAAGTAATTGGTAGTAGGCGGAGATGGTGGCGTTGATGCCGGAGGGTGGTGGTAGGCTGCGAGCTCTGAGGATAGTACCTGGTGCTTCGGTCTCATAGCCTGGTGTCGGTTGGTAGAATGCATCGTCTGATGGCGGAAGAGCTGTGTAAGGTCTTATCGTCTGAACGGCAGGTGACGCCACGAAGCCATGATCTCTTGCAACAGGCTGGTGTAGGGCGGATGTTAAAGTCAACCAGGCAATTGTACTCAGAGCCGTATAGCGAAGTGCCATTATGAGTGTAGAAAGTAAGATGTGGTGGAGGGACTGAGGTGGTGAGGCTGAGTGTGGTACAAGGAATGAAGTGAGATCGGTTTCTGGTAGAAGAGAAGGACTACCTATCTTAAGTACATTGACGGCTTTACTAATATGTCCACGTACTACCCACAATGATTCATCCTCCCCTCGAGGGATCCCGTCGATCGTATTCGTATATTCTTGAGGCTGGGGGTGCCATTGGCCATGTCGTACACCTTGCCTTAAAGGTGCTCGCTTCGAGACGGGACGATGCGGTTTGTAATTGGAAGGATCGACTTGTGGACTCGTGCCGGGGTCGGCAGGGTGTTTAAGGCGCAGCTTATTATCCCCTTAATGTGCGAGTGCGACACGGATCGCAAGACCGCTAGTAGACCCCTACGCTATATAATACCACCCGACAAAGTACTCGTCAGGTCTCTAAGCGACTTGACCTATAATAACGGTCGTGCCTCCATGTAGGTCAGGGACATTGATTATGACCCGTACTTTGATTCTGTTAAAATGACTTTTCTACTTATATTAAGCTTTTATTAGCTACGAATTTTGTTATTTGAATCAGCATAATACTTATATTATATACTGTAAAATTGTTATTATTTAGAATATTTTATTGTTATTTTATTATAAGTGTAGTGTTTTTATTAGTGTTACATTGCTAACCGTTATTGAACTAGCTCGAAATATATACCTTTTAAGGTTTATATAAGGGTATTTAAGTGTGATTTATATTATAGTCAGCCGTTTTAACCCTTTTTAAATATATTACGTTTTTTTGAACTTTAACTTTCACTATATTTAACCGACTTTCAATACTTAATATAACAGCACTTATTTAGTTATCTATTCAATAATTAATAATAATTGAATAATGTTTTTAAATTAAAACGAATACGAACGATTTTCTACTACCTTAAATAAAGAGACGGCGAGCGTGCTGGCTATTTCGGCATGTTCTGCCTCTAAGTCCAGCAGTGCATTTACCAGCAATCCGACGCCGCTTTAAGCTATATACCCCACCATGCCCCACCATGCCCATGGGCCTTGTACTTCGATGTATCGTTCAAAGTACATCATGACCCAAATCCTGGACTCTTTTCAGTTCGGTATCTGGCACCGATGCTGTGTTCTTTCCCTTCTCTTGCTTGCTCGGCCTGTCAGCAACATAACCAGAGATGGCTTTTATATTCCTTTTAAATACCAGCCCTCTCGCTCCAGTTGGTTAATAATGTTTTTGTGTTTTCTCTTCCTCTTTACCTCCAGTTAAGTAAGTGCAATGTTTTTTAATGAACTGCACTTATTATGATCAAGTATACCTTACAGCGTTATTAGCATGGCCCGCCAATGCGTCCATGATGACCCATGCGACTCACAAGTCATCGACGACCTGTACAACATAGACGCATCTTTCTCCGCAGTAGGGGATGTGGATGCTGATGACTTCCTTGACGTAGACGAGGATGTATCCAGCCCAGAGAGCGACGTGACGGATGTAGAGGACTTCAGTGATGACGATTCCAATGTTGCAGATCAAGTCCACCTTTTTGCAGGGAATGTTCATCCGCCAGAGTACTATTAGAAGGCGCTACAAGAGTTCGAAGAGAGTGCTTTTGACGGCGGAGATTACAGTCTTGGAAGCACTATACAACTTGATGCAATTGAGAAGCAGTGGCGGACGTAAGTCATTCTAGTGCTTTATGTCTTCTTATGCTAACAATATTTTTCTGGCAGGTTCTGCACCGACGTTGTGGGACGGGATCCCCAGACTTGCTTCGAGTCTATTGATATCCGTCTCCTCTACAGCTTATTCGATTGGTCCTTGAACCAAATGGTTGGCAAGAATGAACAGAAAAAAAGGGAACGAAGAAGAACAGTTCACTAGGCACAAATTGGAAGGTCTTTCGTCTTGTGTATGAGACTGTCATGGGTGCGAAGCTTGATCCAAAATTGAATCGCAACATGCATAAGGTAAATAAGAATTTGATGACCTACTAAAGACCTATTTCTAATATTTTCTTTCAGGTCTTGAGATCATTGGTAAAGAAACACAGACTGAGCAACCAAAAGAGGGACAACCGCTGTATGACCATTGACGACCTCAAAGCGGAGATTAAGACGACACTGAGCACGACGAGGAAGTCGTTTGACCTCAGGGAGCTCCAGATTCCTACCGTTTTATTTCTTCTCTTCCTGGCTCCTGCCGGCTCGCGCCTGAAATCCATCTTGCGGCTCTGATTTGGAGATATTCGGGTTGTATTAGCGAGATATCCTAACAGCGGGCTATATAAGCTTTTGATCAAGTTTATTTTCAAGTTTATTAAGACATACTTTGGGATAAAAGATATATAAGTGTTCTATCCTAACAATTTAAGGCTCTTCTATATTGATATCATAGGTGCTTTAATAAGACCTTTATAATTCCTGAGATTATATTTGATCTATCTTTGCTTTTCAGCCTTTATATCTTCCTCCTTGGCATCTTGTTCTAATATTAAGCTTTCCGGGCTCCTAGTCTTATCCCTTCTTGCTATTTAGACAATCTTGATATCCATCCTGGCAAGAAGGAGTTGCCTTTGCTACTTGAAGACGACCTTAAAGGCGTCCAAAGATTGAATCACAAGAAGAGGTCGGCTGTCAACGCGAAAACAAGCGACGAAAAACCGGCCTATCATCTCAGAAAAAAGCCCTTTCAGATCAACCCTAAGAACCCGTCACTGTTACACCAAAAGTATATAGAGACGTTACGGACCTTTGGGAAGTTCCGAGTTTTCCTTCGCGCCCCGGAAGAATTGGAAGAGGACGCTCAGGTTATCGTGACAATCAGGCCTGCAGCTGCGCTAGTCAAGGCTGATGGTATGAAATATCTAGATTCAACAATATCTAAGGAAGAAGAGGCAAGGTCGGAAGAGAACGGGGAAGCTAGGGGTATATATGTACATGAATATGTGGAGGTATTACGTAATACCGTAATACAGGGAAGAACCTTCCGGGAAGCCCTGTGACGGCTGTGGCGGCCTGCACAGACCTTCCCACATGACAAGTGGATACCTCCCAATAGGGGAAGGATCTGACCAAAGGATCCCCTTAAAGGGGCAACCTCCCACTGTACCTATCTCTCTCTCTCTCTTCCTTTCCTCTCTAGTCTTGATATTCTCGTCAATAGAGTAATAGCTGCTTGCTGCCGGCCATGTCCCAGCTCCTCAGTACGCTCGCCGTGACATAATATCAAGACTCCTCTATACCAGATCAGAAGCCTTGTCTTCAGATCACCACTGTAAGGAGTTTTGCCTCTAGTAGTGACAGGTACAGTGTCTCTGAACACCCACCTACCCCAAGACTTTATTATACACCTATCATTATCACTGATTCCGTCCAGCACACCGTGACGATGAGTACCATTATCATTCCAGAATATCAGGATAGTTCTGAAGGGACTGAAAGACTAGCCCAACCTACCCAAATATCCCACAACACCAATAACCTTCCGCCAAAGAAAGAACCAAAGAAACAGAGAATCAAGGCACAAGGGGGCCAGAGCAAGCCAAACACGCGATCAAAGGCCGCTTTGACCCACAACAAATCTCCCTCAAACTCTTCATCGGCTCCATCTTCCTCCAGGACCACATTCCAGGACCCATAGACCCAGCCCATGGCACCAACCATGAGCGGTGATCTGGGCCGATCAGACGACCCCTTGCTCTTCAACCTGGATACGCTTACGGCAGAGCAGCTAGCCAGACTGCAAACCGAACTACACATCCGGATCCCGAGGTCTGAGCCACCAAGGCCCACAACAGAACGACAGTCTGTGCATTTCAGCACACCACGAGAAGAACGAGCCTTTCCTTCCTTGGAAACAGGTTCTCCACACACAACGACCCCTAGGTGGGACTCCTCAGCTTCTATAGCATCAACCTCAAATGCCATGCGACATTCCATCAAGCTGGCAGACCCTGCAAAGCTAAGTGACGGTCAAAATCCAACCTTTGAACAATGGAAGAACAGTACTTAACGCAAGCTACGGACCAACTGATGGCTCTTCCTTACAAAAGAATCAAAGTTTGATTGGCTTTGTACACTAATAGAAGGTGATGCAACTATAGCATTGGAACCATTCATTTCTGAAGAGAACACCGAGTCACTTACTACCATTGAAGAGGTGTATGACCTTCTCCAGTCCTCTTACAGCAATCCCGATGCAGCTGCTCAAGCCAGGGATCAGCTCCATGATCTATGGATGGAACCAGCGCAAGACTTCTACTCCTTTTGTTCTACATGGGTTCTCTTAGTCAGCAAGGCAGGCCTGTCCCGGACAGAATGGAAGTATGAACTGAACCGAAAGCTGACACCACCCCTGAGGATACAAGTGATGGCTTCTTACCTTGACTCTAACGTTTCTTTCAACCAATTTCGGAATATCTGTTCTAGCAATGCTTAACAGCTTACAGAGATTGAACGGGTCAAGAAACAGCACCAAAGCTTCTTAAAAGCTTCCTCCCGCCATACCATCACTGCGGCACCTGGACACCAACAGTTCATCAGAAGCCTACCAACCCAAGCTTTGTCCAACCAAGCGATTGACACTATCTTCCAACCAGCAAGAGCATCACCTGATCAGAAGACTCCCCGTCTCTCTGCAGTCCCTGAAAGGAAGCACATTCACCAATCACACACACTCCACAAGGCAGAAAGTGTCACATGCTACTTGTGTGGCAAAGAGGGTCATATTGCTCCCAAGTGTCCAGACAAAAGAACTCCTCATGTACATTTTCTAGAAGAAGACAGTGAGACCTCTTTTGGTCTGACCCAGGATGTTACTTCTGACAGCGGGTCGGAAAACTCAAGGGCCTAGGGAAAGTCTCCCACCTAGGCCTCTAATGTACTATCAATCAACTGGCTCACCACTCCCTTGAAATTCTATCACTTCAATCAGACCTCATTGGCTTGATAGGCGGCAGTACCTTTGTGATGACTGCAACCATCCGGTGGAATGGAATTGCAGTGCGTATAAAAATTTTGATTGATACCAGAGCAGAGGTTTATCTTTTAGGCAGCCGTTCAATCATGAGACCCTTGGCTCAACGATGGGAACTCCCTCAAAGACATTTTGATGAGCCTGCCACCCTGAATGGCTTTGGCAAGGGGCATTCACAGGTTGTCAACACAGTGGTTGCAGCAAATTTCCAGATTCAGGGAAGAACCTTCCGGGAAGCCCCTATCCTAGAAGCAGAGTTTGGACCCAGCAAGAACTTTGACCTTATTGTTGGCAAGCGGTTTTTGGCTGTTCACAACCTCTTACCAGACTGCCGGCGGAACCGCCTATATTTCCCACCAGAACTACCTTTCCTTACCAACTAGAAGACCGACATCACCAACCCAGCTCGCCAGTGGTTAAGACAACGGGCTATCAATCCTCAGGCCCAGCAAGACATGCTCCATAGAGATTCACAGTGGGAAGAGCAAGAGAAACGCCCACAGAAGATACTATAACGCCCTCAAGTACTGGCTACATGGGCAAGAGACCATCATCAGTCCTTGCAGGCTATGAAAGACCAGCTAGCAGGACGGGACCGCCCGGTATCCTTGCAAAAGACTTCGCTACGCCAGGCTGTTCATCCTAAGGTTAGCAAAGACGCAATAATGAACGTTCTGGGCGCGGATATCCATCTAGTCTCAGGAAGTACCTTCTTTAGACAGGCTAGTCACCGTCAAAAGGGGCAACATCAACGATACAGCTACGGAAATGTGTTCTCCTTTTCGGTATATGAGCTTGATCAAGCTATTGATTACTCTATTGATAAAGAGGACTTAGAGACTCAGCACCTGCTACGCAGCAGGCTTCCCCCAGAGGCACAAGATTTTATGGATATATTTTCCAAGACAGAAAGCAACAAGTTACCCCCTTTCTGCAAGGATATTGACCACAAGATCGAGCTCAAGCCAGGGGCTAAGACTCTTTGTCTGCACCCCTTATATAGCATGAAGGCCGACCACCTTATTGCCCTCAAGCAATATCTGACGGAACACTTGCGCAAGGAATGGATTGTTCCCAGTGGAGCAGAGTATGGGTCCCCTGTTCTCTTTGCCAAAAAGCCAAATGGAGGCTTGCGTTTCTGTGTTGACTATCGCGAGCTCAATGCTCAGTCAAAAAAGGACCGCTACCCACTGCCATTAATCAGCGAAACTTTGGAACGTCTATCTAGCGCTAAGCTGTTCACCAAGCTGGATATCAGGGCGGCTTTCCACCGAATCCGCATGGATCCAGCCTCTGAAGATCTCACGACCTTCCGCACGCGCTTTGGTCAGTACAAGTACAAAGTGCTCCCTTTTGGACTTTGTAACGGCCCAAGTACCTTCCAGCGATATATCAACAAGGCCTTGTTCCCATATCTGGACGAGTTCTGTACAGCCTATGTGAACGATATCCTGATCTTCTCTGCAGACCCATTGGAACACTGGGACCATGTCCGCAAGGTCCTCCAGAAGCTCCGGGAAGCTGGCCTCCAGGCTGACATCAAGAAGAGCGAGTTTGCTGTCATATCAACAAAATTCCTGGGATATATAATATCAACCAGTGGC